CGGACGCGTTTCGACCGCTGCCGCTCGAGTTTCGTGGAAGTCCGTCCGCCTTCGGGAGTCTTCGCTCTTTGTCTTTCGGATGAGGAAAACAGTCACCCAACGCTGAGTCATAATTAACGCTCCGGTGTGTTCACTGTTCAGTTCCGCGGATTTCGTCGCCGCGTCTGGAGGGAACTTTCCGCGCCGCACCTACTGCGGATCTGCCGCGCCGGTCTGTGAAAGCCTCAAACGTTGCCAAACGGCTCCCGCGACATTCGCATACTGCGCAGGTCTGAATATGCTCATACGCCAATATGTGACGCGAAACTTCCGTTGCACTCTGCTTAGGCTGTGGGTGTTCCGTACCGGTCTGTGAGAGCCTAAATCACAGCGCATTTCAATACGCGGTCGGAGGAACTGAGTGCTGACGGAGGTCTGTGGAAAAACTGATCGCATTATGTCGAAGGCTGAGAGACTGATAGAGCTTGTGAAAAGATTTCCAATTTTATATGATCTTCATCATGAAGACTACAAAAACTCACATAAGAAGAATAGGATATGGGATGAAATTGGGAAGGAAATCAACGAAACTGGTAAGTATTTTGTGATTTATTTATCTAGTATAGATTGTACATACATCCAAAGACATATTAATGAACAAAGAAGCGAATACCACTTCTCGCCACTTGTTCAAAAGACATTACAGCGATACTATTAGTTACAATTCCACGACACATTTTCGAACTCCTAGAGATTGCAGAATGCAAAAATATAGCAGTTTGTTTACACATCACGCTGACTTAGGCCTCACTCACAATGCAAACAAACGTAAGCATAACGTAGTCGCAAAACCTAGAAATGAAGTTTGTGCACCCTCGCACGTTAAAGCACTATCGATCTTACACGCATGCGCAGTTAAAGTTTCGCATCACCACGGTGTAGGTTGGAATCTTATAGGAGTGTTCACTTCCAGTCTAAAACTGAAGTTTATGACTGAGGTTAGTTGTCGCAAGTAAGCGCTGCGATCGGTTTAGGCTGATGGCATCTATTGACAGCATGGTGGAGCAGCTGCCGCGGGATGCCATCACTACTGCCGAGCCAACCTGGCTAATCTTTTCATAGAAAAAACTTTATTCCAGAGTTAACAGTTTCCAAAGTGGGTCAAGAATGCTTCGATAAAGCTTGATATAGTAGTAGTGATACATGCCACACCAAATAGCTTTGTTTTCCTTATCGGATCGAGAAGATAATCAAAAGAAATAGGTTGAAGTTTTCCCAGCAAAAGAGAAAATTAAATAACAATGATTATGTTTTCAAGCATTTCAACAATGAAATGTGGTAAGTATACATTCTAATAATTCGCCTTACACTGTCAGTTAATTATGAAATAAAGCAGTATAAAATCATTCACAATCAATATTGTGAAATGTAAACAACTAATGTAATATTTTTCATTATATAAGCGTCTAGTTGGAGGAAAAATTCAAGGTGTGAAATTGTGTAATGAAAGAATATAAATGAATATTTTCCACTAAATTAAAGCAAAATTTGCAGAATTTACATGAAAAAAGATGAAAATGGAAGTTAATCCAAACAGTGATTGTATGTGATGTTTCTAGGAGTGTTAACAATAAACATGCATTTGATATGCATATTGAAAAGTATTATAAAATAATGAGGAAAACTTGTAGAGGATATGATTTACAGACTAGACATGAAGATAGAATTTCTTTATTAAATTATTAAAATGGAAATTTTTAAGATTAATAATGTTAGAATTATTTGTTTGTCTTATTATTTCTCATTCTTGTTGAATTTTCAGTGGGTTCTTTGGGCACAGACTGCCATTGAAACACCATGCCCATTCATCAAACATATTGAAGGACTGTGATTCTCATAATGAACGTTTTATTGGAATGGTAAATGTTTATGTTGCTTATTGTGTACTATTTTTCAATTAATGTTAATTATTGTTTTTTTTAATTATAGGGAATTAAAGCTTCATAAAGTATAATTTACTCCCTAAAAATTTAAAATACATTTTTAAAATTATTAAGTTTTCAGATGATAATAGAAAAATGTTGAGGGAACCTGCTGTAATTCTTGAAGAAGATTCATTGAATCTATCCAGTGTCAGACAAATTTATTAAAGTTTGAAAAAATATCTGAGAATAAACAAATGGCTAGTCTTCTTGAACAATCATAGGACATGATTGTGAAATATGAACCAGACAGGGTTGGGCAAAATACTTAAAATTACGTATTAAATACATTGTAAATAAGTATTTAAATACATATACAAAGTGCATTGTGACTTGATGTGCTAAATGCATACATATTTAAAATACTTCAAATAATCGAAATACTGTAAATACATAATAATTTTGTATTGTACATTTTTTATTGTAATTAGTAATCAACAGTCATACAAATTTATGTACAATATCTATTTTAATGTATTGTAACAATATGTATGAACATTTTCAAATACAAAATTATATCAAAAAAAAAGTTTAACAAAAAGAAATGGAACTTTCTTTTAAAATGACTAATATTTCAAATAAATCGTGAGACAATAAACCCCTAGCAGGCGGATATATAAAACCTGCATAGGAAAACAGTCGTGGATGAACATAAACTAGTGTTATAATAAATAAATCCTTTTCTTTTTGTTGTTGTTGTCCAGCATTTTTAATGCTTTAGATGTATCATTTAAAAAAGAAGAGAATCCAAATTCAATAGCTGAAAGGACCTTTTATTTTTGTTTCAATGAGGTGCATTCACTAGCAGAGTGAAACAAAAATGAACTATCCTCCTTCTTCATCTGTATTTAAAGTTGTTTTTATAATACTCCTATTTTATGTATTGACATACATGTCCAAAAAACTCAAAAATACAGTTTTTCAACTACAAAATGTATTTAAACTGTGTATTTCAAATGCAAATATTTAAATACTCCCCAACCCTTGAACCTGAGAATGTGCTTTCTGCTCATAATGTTGCCACGATGTGATTATAAAAAGGCAACTGATATTATTTCAATACAGGCATAGAGGTTCTGTATATAAATACTGTAGGAAGATCATGGTAAAACTAATTGCTATAATGTGTTTAGCGTGAAGCACTAAAAGCACTTCCTAATTTTAGTCCAATGTAAAAGTATACCAAATTTAACATAGATGTTTGTTATTATTAATACTGGACTGCATTTACCTATACTATTACTTTAATGATGATGATTACCATTGTTCAGTTATTTTTAAGACTATCAGTAGAATTAACAATGAATACCTGTCAATTTTTTTCGTTTAATTTTGATTATTGAAATAACATGGTTTATTATTACATACACTGTATTTCAACAACGAAAGTAATGAATTAATTTTGTAACACCCCTCCCCCCTTCCTAGCGGTCGCTGCCAGTGTTGGGCAACAGGCGTATTGTGGCAGGCAAGTCGACTGACATCTATCACGTCGATTTTCGATGATGTCGAAAATCTTGATCGGCCCGGAAGAGTGCGCGAATCCCGGCGAGATGAGACTATCTTCGGAGTGACGGCTCCCTGAGTTAGCTTCTGTTAGTTAGGGATCAGGTGTGCTCAAAATGCACTATTGAATGAAAATCAAAATTTCCTTCTACGTGGGTCCTGAAGGGAGCACCCAGTTTATTTTAAAAATGTTCTAATAATTATTACAATGGCTCTTCAGTGCAATTTTCATGATATTCTGAATATTTACAGGCTTTTACTTCCTTTTACTTTTTAACAATAGCTGAAAGGACCTTTTATTTTTTGCGTTTCAATGAGGGTGCACTTCACCCCCCTAGTCAGAGTGAGGAACACAAAGAAAACGTATCCTCCTTATGACTGTATGTAGACTTGTTTTACTATACTCCTAATTTTCTGATATTCATACATATCATGTCGCATATAAATCAAAAAATACAGTTTTTCAATATGTAGAATAATTGTATTTAAATCTGGGTTTGGTCATTAATGCGAAATATGTAAAAGCATTGCCCCCGGCTTTCCCCAAGCCACTTTCGCCCTTGCCGAGTATTTCTTTTGGAAAGGAGAACGTGACTTTTTGTCCTGCTCACCATATAAGTTGGTGGCTTTTGAATTGCACATGTGTGACTCCCCCTTTTCTGCCCGCCCGGTTTCCCCTCAGGGCTGCATGGTTGTGGATCGCCCCCGGGGCATCTCTGCTATACGATGTGATTATATCTTCCAATATATGTGTCAACTGTGATATTTTATTTGTGTACACCCGACTACACTTTAGCGAATGAAGAGGCTCTCACCCTGCACTTCCCCATTATAATATCAGCTGGCCGCTCGTGAGGATGGTGTTGCAGAGTGCATAGGCTCGAAAACTATTGCTAATAAAGGTTGCTGTTTTTTATTGGCGTGATAGCCCATGCCATTATATTACGAGCAAGTTCTCACTTCCCAATCGCTCTTGAGGCCTCCAACTGGTGACACATTATTGGTATGCCCACCTTTTCGCCTCCTTTTTTCTCTTCCTCTTTCTCCTTCTGATATTATCATTTTCAACATAGATGTTTGCTTATTTACTTAATTATCTTTCGTGATCTCGCGCATTTAACTAGTACTAATTACTTTAATGATGATGGATGTACCATTGTTCCAATTTATTTTTAAGAAATCACGTAGATTAACAATGCATACCTGTCAATTTTTTCGTTTAATTGTTTTGGGATTATTGAAAATATACATGGTTTTATTATTACTACACTGTATTTCAAGCAACGAAAGTAATGAATTACATTTTGTAACACCGACTCCCCCCTTTCCTAGCGGTCCGCTGCCAGTGTTGGGCAACAGGCGTATTGTGCGCGAGGCAAGTCGACTGACATCGTATGCACGTCGATTTTCGATGATGTCGAAAATCTTGATCGCCCGGAAGAGGTGCCGCCGAATGCCGGCGAGATGAGACTATCTTCGGAGTGAACGGCTCCCTGAGTATCAGCTTCTGTACTAGTTTAGGGGATCAGGTGTGCTCAAAATGCAACTATTGAATGAAAATCAAAAATTTCCTTCTACGTGGGTCCTGAAGGGAGCCCCCCAGTTTTATTTTAAAAATGTTTCTAATAATTATTCACAATGGCTCTTCAGTACAATTTTCATGATATTATGAATAATTTACAGGCTTTACTTCCTTTTACTTGTTTTTTTATTTGCTATTATACAACTTAACAATTATGGCATGGCATTGATGATCCTTCTTCTTGAAATTGCGCTCTTGTTCATTCCTTAATTTTTCTAATCACTTGCCTGAATCTGTCTGCCACTCTACTCGGGTAACAAAAGCTTTAGGCTCATTCACAATGCAAAACGTAAACATTAGCATAGGCATAAACATAACATAACTGATAGACTGAAGTAATTCCTGGTCTGACATAAAGGTAAGCAAAATAAGAGCTTTCTAACCCTGGGTTCTGAGACTTTGCTTTACTAATTTGGT